AGGACCTAAATTTACGAATGAGTGTTATACGATGGGTATAAAAATGACAGCTTAAAAATAAGGAAAAAATTAGATTTTTACATGTACCAAAATGTTGCTTATTTAAAAGAAATGACATATTAAGAAATTAAACATTTAAGAAATTTAACATTTTCATTGTCAGAAAACATGAAAAGTGTGTCGGATTCATCTTCCATCATATATTCAGGCATCTAGAATTTTGCTCCATCTTCATCATCATTATTTTAATCTATAAATAAATAATCATTATCCGTTCCATCTTTCACCAACACCAAACATCTTTGCTGCAGCACGATTTACATTTTCCTTCACAAAATTAATTGCTTTGCATTTGAAACCAGCATTTTTGGCAGTACATGGACAACAAAATTGTGAAATTCTTGTTATTTTGGCTTTCTGTAGTGACAATTTTTAGGCCAAAAACTGCTGCTACACAAAGCCAAAATAACATCATACCATGTACACATCGACCTATTTTCACTTAAACAGATCGAACAATTTTCACTTAAAAGGTCAAAGGAGAAGCCCATTATACACTAGAGCCAAACACAAAATATATAATCTCAATAAACTACATTTTAAATCACACAATGAAATAACATAAAAAGGAAATTCATCTCATACCATCTAAGCACTACACAAAGGAAATATCCACTTATCCTATTTAGAAATTTCCATGTCTTCAGTCTGTGGCACACAAAATTCTTTAACAGCATCCAAAAACTTTCTAATGGAACACTTTACAGAATAATAATGGAACACTTGGGGAGCATTTGAACCTTTCTTGCGACAAACCCAATCAAAGCCATCTGAACGATATTTCAAGTTTGATCATACACTTTTCCTTTGTACAAACAGAACACTTATAATTCCATTGAATTACATCCAACAAAATTTCTTTTATTCTGGCCTCAATGGCTTAAAAAAAAAAAAAAAAAAAAAAAAAAAAAACTTCCACTCTCTCATTCTATACCACCAAACACCCACTTTACCACCAGCAGCCATTTTACGATGCACAATACGCAATGTACTTCCTAACTGACATCCAACATATATTTTCCCATCAATCAAATTCACCGCAATCATGCAACCAATCACCTCATAATAGGGTTTCCATAACATTCAATTACTCAGTAACCATAAATAAAACAACAACTTGGCGATAAATGAAACAACTTTGCGATAATCCAAGGGGCACCCTTAAATATACCTTAATCCACAATTTTTTTTATTATTTAAACACTTCAAAGGAAACTTCAATATATTTCTTGTTTTCAACTGCCATAAATCATATACATGATAAATTGAGGATACTGCCAAACAGCAATTCACGCTACATTTTATTTAGCTTTAATATATTTATGTTGCATTAATCATTTAAAAAGTTATTTCATCTGAAGTTTTTACACAATATTTTTTATAATAATTATTACTTTATAACCGTGAGCCTCAGGTTCCTAACACTTCATTGCTGTTGGATTGCAAAATTTCTAACTGTAATTCTTAGATATGCTATCAATTGCATCCAGAAAACAATTTAAAAGTTATACAATGCAAATCTGGTAAAAGTATATTTTAGGGTACCTCTTGGCGAAATTTAATGATTTTTGGCGGTAGATGGATATTGAGTTTGTGTAAAATCGCCGCTACACAAAGATAAAATAACAAGACAAAGAATTGCACAAACTCTGTACCCATGCACACATCGACATATTTTCAATTTTAAAAAAATCCCCGAATTGCAAAAAAAAAAAAAAGTTATTGTGCACTCCCTTGACTTTATCCATGTACACGTCGACCTATTGTCGCTTAAAAAATTTCCAAGAATTGCACAAACCCTTCACTTTGTCCATGTACAAATCGATATATTTTGAATCAATATATTCGAAAAGTCAAAGGAGCACCCAATTCTAGAATACAGGCAAACAAAAAATACATAATCTCAATAAACTACATTCTAAACCAAACAATAAAGTAACATAAAAAAGGAAAAACATATTATACATTTAAATACTACAAAAAGCAAATATCCACTTACCCTATTTAGAAGTTCCTTCGTCTTTAGTCTGTGGCACACAAAAATTCCTTAACAGCATGCAAAAACTTCCTAAAATTATCTGAACTCGAATCCGTATATCGGCGTCGCCACATCTGAACCTTTCTTCCTACAAATCCATTCAAACCCATCTAAACGGTTTTTACGTTCAACTAGATCCTTCCTACATACAGGACACTTATAATGGCTACTAAGTAAACCTTCATTTACACACCAGTCAATTAATGCTCTTTTCCCTTTCATTCTAAATTGTACAGAAACTTCAAATTAATCTTATTACATTCAGCCATTCTACCGTCTAAACAATAAAACCAACACATACTTCAAAAGCATTTACAAAACATCCCATGATTCAAAATTTCCCAGAATCTTGCACCTGATTACATCCAATAGGGTTTCCACAACATTCAATTACTCAGGCTACTATAACTGAAACAACTTGGCGATAAATGAAACAACAACTTCGCCATAATACAAGGTGTACCTTAAAGTATACTCTAACTGCAAATCTTTCTCTCTCTATCTGCATATAACACTTTGTTAAAATTAGTTATACAGGTAATACACATTTCTTAATAGTTTGATATTTTTATGTATATAATATTTTAACATTTTAAAAATATACTTCTCACTTAAGAAGATGTCATTCATCATAACACATTATAATGGCAAGTGTACTAGCTGTTTTATTTCACATACCAGCAGTTACACAATGATGACATAATCAGTAAGCGAGACAAATGAATAACAATAAAGCAATTTTCTTTTTGACATTTTAAGTTAATCCCCCCCTTCACTTTAAAAACAAAATTAATCAATATGGGTAACAAGATTTGACAGACAAAGAGTCGAAATTAAATTCTTCCGTTAAAAAACTACCATTCACACTGAAAGACTTTAAAGTTTATAAAGCAAGTTTTGCTTCAAAGGTTCATTCCTTTTCTAACAATCATTTAGGTCATTTACTTCTAGTTTTAAGTGTTCACGTTCATACAATCTTGTGAACCGCAACTACAAATGAATCAATATGCAAGCATCAACTGGATTAGTCAATTAGTTGCACATATTCTTAATTGGAAATTTCTGTACATAACAGTTTTTTGTGTGCTCAATTTGAATTTTACAAAATAGTCTTTCTTTTTATGGAGCTGTACATATCATTATGGTTGTTGTTCCCTTTACTCAGATTTTTCATCAATAGATTACATTCTGCATGAAACACCAAAAGCAATGCAGAAACAAATAACATTTAAAATTGGAACTGGTTTTAATCTTATTCAGGATTTTGTTTTATATAATTTTAAAATTTTAATAATTAATTCTTTTACAAACCATTGATTGCAATGGAAATATTCAGATTTCAAGGATTTTTTTTTTTTTTCCTCCAGGTGTAGCTCTTTTAAGTTATTGTCCTATTTTATCCTTTTCTATCCCATAAAGTAAAAAGAATGCCAAAGTTCTAATGATTACACAGATTCTGAAAATTTTCATTTTCATATTGAATAATAAAACTATCAGTATCTTCATCACTGATTATGCAAAAGTATTGAAGTAATGAACCTTTTTTTTTTTTTTTTCCCAATAGGAATTATAAAGCTGGTATGCTCTGGCTGAAAATGCAAGCTCTGTCAGCATTATCAGTAATCCATCTACTGCTCATAATGAATATCCTCAAAAATTTAATTGGTCTTTTCTTTCTTTTTTTGAGCAGCAGTTTGAGCACATTCCCTGAATAAACTTATTTATTCTATTTTGAACTGTTCAAGCTACAGACCAAGATTTGTAAAATGTCTTTATAATGTACAATCACTCATTATTTTAGCATTCGGGTGATATGAGTTAATAAATATAGAATGTATTCCCAATGAACCAGCAAGTACATATCATCTGTACATAAGGCCCCAGAATATTAAACAATAAATGTTATTTTTATTTAGAGGGGAAGACGAGGAATGTTGGTACTTTTCTTCATGTGTCTAAAAGTCTACAATCTTCATAAATAACTTCCGAGTTTTTTTTTTTTTTTTTTCCAGAACTATTTTTGAGCCTTTGTCAGATTCCTAGTCTCTAAAACACTACATTTTCAGAAATTTAAATTTCAGTATTTGTTGACCAAAATTCTGGCAGTATACTATACACTTTGGTTTTATACTCCTAAAAAGTACTTCTTATTCTTTAAAAAAATGATACCAACTGTAAAATTTGCCAGTACAAAAATATTATGAAATACTAGCTTATATACAAGTCAGTGACTAAAATTATTTCAATGTGAAACAGACATGTTACTTTCAAATAAAGATTCACTCATTACTATTATATATCAAGAAATAATTTTTTAACCACACCATAAGATAAAGAGGGTACTTTTCTGTTACGCACCTGCGAAAGTGCAACCAACTATGCACCAAGCACATTTGTCCCAACCATAAAGAAATACAAAAGTAAAGGAAATGCTTTCTATTTATTTACAGATATTTGTAAATTTGTCTCCCATCTTGTGTGCCCATTCATTTCAGCTTATTTAAGTGAAAATAGGTCGATGTGTATATGCATACCGAGTTTGTGCAATTCTAAAAAATGTGCCAAGCAGTGAGTGATTCTGCCCTTTCCCCATAAAAATTATATACATGCTTGGTATGAAATAAATATGCTGCCTTCTATACACTATTCTTATAACTAGAAATTGTTTACAATTAAAAACCCCGCCAATATGCTTGGCAGGTGCATGACGGAAAAATACCTAACGTTTCTGTAACTAGTATGAGAACACTTTTGGGAAAAAAAAAAACGAAAAACACAGCTGTTAACATTAATAAATTAATCCTGCTTTACTAAGCAGCAGGAAAAAAAAACAACTAGTAATACAAATGATAAAGCAAGGAAAACAATGCTTAATGAAACCAGAAATAATCCTTTTACAAACATTTAGGGCAATGAATTTCGTTACTAATCCCGATTATAAATAACTTGCTTTCATAATGTCAGCCATTAGAAACAAATTTATTGTTATAATTAAAAGGATTATCTTCTTTTTATATTAAAACAGAAAGAATTAAAACATAATTTAGCCTTTCAGCAATTCGCAATTTACGCATACACCGGAAGTTACCTTACGAAAGGGAGGAAATAGATATTAGCGAGTTGGTGCATCTCGACATCAATTCGTTTTGCCCGAATGTAAGAATTACATATGAGAAATAAGTACGTACGGAATTTAGAAGAGTGAAAAAAAAAAAAAAGATTCAATTAACTTAATTGAGAAAAATGCAATAATTTAAGAAACTATGTTTAAATACAAAAATATATAGAATAGCGTTTAGGCGTAACAAAAGAAAAATCCATGTACATCTGATTTTCTAATCTCACACCAACTGGCAAGAAGACTTTAACAAAAAAGCACATGAGTACATATGGTTCTTGTTTCTACGAAGTGGACGGGAGAAGAGACAAAGAATATGTATTGTTCTTTGACAGTCTTTGAAAGTGAGGTAGCTTCGCAGAAGTAATCGATTTTCATGTATAATTTCGATTTAATTATTAATCGATTTCATGTAAGCTATTTTCATGTATAATTCAACTTTCTATACGTTATGAATAAAGCATAGCGTAAGGTAATCAGAAACTGCATGATGTTACTTTCTTAAAGTAAAAGTTTAAACGATTTTATTGAAGCATACTTGAGAAGTTTTCTTTAGATCTGATTGCAAAAAACATTATTGCGACTGCAGCTACCATCCACATTTTCATACTTTATGGAACTGTGTACAACATGAAAGCCTCGCACTAGAAAATAAAAAATGGGTTCCTGGAAGGATCTGCCAAGAGAGATTCTTGTGCATGTTTTCCGCAGTTACCTGATAACAGAAAATCAGAAAAGACTCCTAAGAACAGTGGCCCCTGTTTGTTTAGAATGGGAAGAGGCCTGCATGGATAGTTATCTGTGGTATACTTTTGATGGTCATTTGAACTTTTTGGAGCTAAAGGAACTATCTTTAAAAGGCTATCTACAACACACTGAAATACTGAAGTTCAGTCATATTAATGATCAACATTCTGTAATAGAATTTGATGAGATTTTCAGTGGACTCCCAAAATTAAAGTATATAAATGTGAATAAAATTAAGAAATCGCAAAAAAATGTTTTTCAGTCTCTTATGAATCATTGCTTTAAATTGTCTGAAATTGACTTTTCAGGCAAATTTCAGGTACATATTAATTTTGAAATAATTCAAGAATTTTTACATATTCGTGGATCAGCTTTAACTGGAATTAATCTTTCAAACGTTCATCTAGTAAATGCAGAAAAGTGTTTAAAGAATATTGCTGCTTGTTGTCCCAATTTGCAGCAGCTCTCTCTTTTGAATATTGATTGTAATCGAATTCTTTTTCCTTTGTTTGATTTTCAAGCTCAGTGTTCTTCTCTGAAACTTTTACGGATGGGTCCTAGAGTAAAAATACAAGCTAAAAATAGTATTTCTTTCCCTGGTTTTCCAGAATTAGAAGTATTTTCCTTTATAATCGAAATGGAGTATTTTGGAGATGAGCAACTTAAAAAAATTTTGTTTAACTCCACAAAATTACAGTATTTGGAACTTCAAGGCAGTTCAAATTTAAGTGTGAGATCCTTAATCCAATTACCTGCTAACCTTTTAGAAAATTTTATTTTAACTAAATCAAATATATGTGCTTCACAACATGTGTATGAATTATTTACCAAATGGCATCAGAGTTTGAAGTTTATAGATGTTTCTGGTATGAAAGGGGAGTTTATTAATGAAGCAGTATTAGGTCTTCTTCCACCTGGAAGCAAATCATCTGTACGTGGAATAAATTTAAGTGGCACTCAAATAACTGCATTTACTGTTAAGAAACTTATTGAATTGTGTGATGACTTACAAATGTTACGTTTGGATTCTTGCCGCAAGCTTCAAAGGGGAATGAAACAAGCATTTATTGGAAAATCAGAATTGCAGTATCTACTAAAAAAAATATCTGAAGAATGTGCTGATTGCTGAAAATTACTCCCAAAATTAAAGATAGAAAAATCATCAAAGGCTAATCTTAAAAAGTATAATTCTAGTATACAGTACAGATGGGATTTGGTGACATTATGATAAGCAATGTAAGCGTCATTTTGGTATTGGTGACAATTTTCAAAATCCTGCCAATGCCATATTGTATGCTAAGATTTTATCCTTAAAAATATAGTACACAGACATTTTTCTACATTATTTTGAAAATTTCATGTAGTATCAATTATGAGAAAATTTTATTTGAAACATCAAGAATTGCTTGTATATCTCTTTCCATATATTCTATATATTGAAAATTAGTTAATCATTGTGTGCATTTAAAAATTGTGAAAAATGTTTGTTATATGAAGTGTGACTTAATTATGTAGAGTTTTTGTCACAAGAAATAGAAAAGGAACCATACTGTCCCATTTAGAAAGATCTCGTATTAGGCCCTCTTATATAAAACAATTTTATTTTTCAACCATGTTGCATTTGGTAAAAAAACTAAAAATAAGAAATATCTTATGGAAAATTAATACTTAAATAGATATTTTAAAGCTAATATTTATTGTCATAACATTCTAAATATTCAAGATTCTTATTCGTCATATGTCAGAAATTTAATAATTTTCCTTTTCAAATTTAACAATTTACTTTATAATTTTTACTATCAAATTGCACTCTTTGACATGTAAAATTCTTTCTTTTGTTTGCAGTCTTAGAAAGATGTATAAGATGAGCTTCTCTAAAAGCAAAATATCAATTTCCTGATCATATCAGTAGTGGGTCAGTTATCAGAAGTTTTGTTTGAATTTACTAGTTTGTAAATTCATGTTCATGATTAAACAGTAATAAGTAATTTAGACATTTTCTCCCATTTTTTCCCATTCCTCGTGTGACTTGATTGCATTATTTTTCTTATGCTTATTCAAAATAGTGTTATTAATATTGTTTGAATATGATCTGAATGTTCTGTAACATTTTACATAATTGTACATGTAAGTATCTGCATGGAAAATGTTTTCCAATTTTAGGTGGAAAAAGAAAAAAAAAAATAGTAATAATAATAATAATAATAATGTATATTACCTAGTTTGCAATTTCAGGATTAATGATGTGTTTTTGTATTAAAATCATTTTTAATCAAAAATAAATGAAAACTGAAAGAGATTAATGTTAATTATATGATGTTGAATTCATGAAGTCATTTTTCTCATTGTAAATTCCATAAGGATAAAAATTCATATTCAAATGTAAAAATTCATAAAATACAGTCAAAACTAAGAAGTTGTAGTGCTACATACCATATCTTAAAATACACACACTTAGTATTTTGTACTTTTAATAAGATGCTTGTCATACTAATAAAGTCAGTTTTTACTGAATATAAGTATTTTAGTCTTTTATTCTGCCCTATTTATTTAAGCATTTGTATGGTTTCTTGTTTTTTTTAATACAGTCAAAAGTCTTTAATCCGGACTCGTCGGGACTTCGGCGATTCCGGATTATCCGGATTTTAGATCATCAGTTTAAATCTGATAAGATGGCATGCAGAAATTATAAAATTAAAAATATGAAACCGTAATTTTGAAATAAAGAGCAATTATGATCTAAAGGGTATAAAAATTTTAAAAAAAACCTTAATAATTATTTGTTTACTTTATTAAACATTTCTTTTAACGCGCGCATGCGTAAAGCATACATTACGCAATTAGAAATAGACGAAATTAGAAAATTACCACCAGAAAACTATTTGATGTGTATTCCTGATATTTATAATGACGAGGAATTTGATTTAAATGATATCAAAGACGGAGTAAATCGAGATGAAATACTACATTTAGTAAGGAATTTTGTGCCTAATAAAATAAAAACATCTGCCCTGAAGATAAGGATAGTGCTGACAGATCAACTTCCAGTTCATTGCGTGCCGCGACTCCCCCCCCCCCCCCCACCGCGCAGAGCAGAGTGAAATTGATAAACAGATTTCGGAATTTTTAGAGAAACAAAGGATATGCCTTTATCCATTTTTTTGCAGCAATTCCAAGTTTTGTTTGATGGATATCGAAACATGCTTTCGCTTTATGGATCCTTTGGCAGCTCCAGAATCGAAAATTCAAGCTTACTTTTATAAAATTGCTCTAACAGTCTGCAAAAAATAATAAGCTGGATCCAATTAGAAGATTTAGGAACAACGCAATCTGCAACATTAACTGAAATAGATAATTTTAGCTTAGTTTATACTGTCCGTTATACATTAAATGCGCATGCGTACGCAGAAAGTTTATAGCTTTGAGGTCCGGATTATAGATTATTTCGAATTATGTACGTCCAGATTAAAGGCTTTTGACTGTATCTTGTTTATTATAAGCAACAGTATTTTTGTTATTAAGGGTAAAGTTTAATTGGCACTCATGGGATAAATCATGAAATTTTGCATACTTGGTATTTATTTTAATAATTTAGTAAGTAGTGTTTGTATCATTAATTGCATACTAATTTATACTATCACAACCACCAATGATTCAGATTAATATTCCCGAAAAAGCATTCTTTGAGCTATGTAGTAAAAACAGAAATAAATAGGATTAAATAAATAAGCCTTATTTATTGTGTTATGAAACGTCCAGGCGTGGTAAGATAGCTTCCCCGCAAAGCAGATTTAGGGATGCCAAAAAATGACAATTGAAGGCAAAGTTGCCGCCTTTGGCGATAAATTGCCCATTTGGTGATATGCCATGGACGGATGAAGGGCTTGCCATTTTTATGCAATTCTGGGATTTTTTCTAAGAGAAAATAGGTCGACGTGTACATGGATACCGAGTATGTGTAATTCTTAAAAACACGCCAATCAGTGGGCGATTCTGCACTTTCCCCCGAATGGAGAACCTTCTGGAACGAATTCTTACTGGTTTAGCCCAGAATGTTCTTGAACACAAGCCAAAAAACAGAACCAAAGGTTAATATAGATAAAACCTGCTGGTACGCGCACAGTGAGTGCGAGATAGTTAATTGCGAGTTAGTCAGTCCCTGCTGAGTCGATCGAGTTGACAACCGGGCAGCGAGTGCCTAGTGGGTTGTCGAATGCATCGAAAGAGTCTCTTAGTGTATAGTCGAGAGAGTGTGTTGAGCTCCGGGAACGACTGAACCGAAGAGTCGGGAGCTGTGCTCTGTGTGTCGTCGAGTGCATCGCGATTTGAAGCGTGGAGAGTCTCGAGAGTACGTGGAGTTCCGAGAACAACCAAGCACAGTCGGAAGCTGTACTCTGGTGCTTTGCAGTGAAACTGTCTCCATCGTTATAGCCTGATAACCTGAAGGCTGTGTCGCTGATTGTTCCAGCGAGTGTATAGTAAGTAGATCTTCGACGACTGTAAAACGTGACTTACCGGTTTAGCCCAGAATGATATCAAATTTAATATTGACTAAATGAGGTGTGTTTCGATACTTCATCAAGTGTCGTCGTTATTCACTCCAAATTTACAAACCCCGTACAAACGTGAAGGAAGAAAGTAACGCAGCAATTGTATTATATTTATTGATTTTAATCAGTGAAATTCTTATAATACAAGAAATGCTTTTATTTGAAGGAATTATTTTCAGTAAAGTGGATGGCAACTATATACCTTTTTTGCCTATAGACTTATTTTGCGTGTGCCTTCTACACCTTTCTCGTTAAGTGGTATATGCTTAAATTTAATCAACAAAAGGTTACTTTATATAAACTTGGAAAACTACTTTTTATAATATTCTCAGTGTCTGGCATTCTGAAAATAGAATTATTCATTATTATCCTAATAGATTTATAAGGGCTATCTGCTTGAGAGGACGAATGCCTTCATGGAGGAATTTCTAATGGAAATGGGCTCATATTCACAATACACATGGGAAAAATCGACTATGCAGCCAGTCCATTGGACAGGCTTTGAACTACCAGTATTTAGAAGTGTAACTGATGGGGCTATTAGCCTAATTCAAATTCAAATTATGCATAGGGATCACAACCATGCAGCCAACCCATTCTCCTGTGTCCTGAGTGAAGAAGTTGAGATAAAGAAGAAAACTTTATTTCAGTTTAAGGCACATTAACCAGTTTCACAGATAAAAAAAAGATATCTCAAACAGAATGGAGAAATTAAATAGAATTTCCCTTCACGCATGATAAATACTGCAAATTACAAAAATACGCTTACAGACTTTTGCATCGACAACTGGGACAGCCGGTTAATTGGTGTTTTACCATTTTAAATGTTGACTTCTGCTGTTGTTTAGCTCTGTCCCAGTTCTGATGGAAAAGCCTTCGGGGACAGATTTGAGAGTATCCTGCCCATATATTGGTACCACCAAACAGTCAAATGATTTAAAGTGTCCTCATGCCGCAAAGATGCGATACATTTGTAAATATTCATGCCTTCAGCAGGATTCAAATCCAGGCCCAAAGTTAAGGTAGCCAGCTGTCCTACCACATGACATCAGGCAGACTTGAGAGAGCAAAGATTTAAAGTCATTGAGAAGTAAACTTAGTGGCATATCAATTTACAATGGACTGATAACCTCATTTCAAATATTAACTAACTCAGGCGATTGCCTGAAGAGGAGAAAACACAACCGAAATATTTTAGAAAACTCATTGCTAGAATCTGAAAAGCATTGTTGCATGCATACGGTTCGTAATAGTGGATTGAATATACGCAGACTTGATAATAATAGCTTGATAAAATTAATTTTAGCAAAAGAAACACTTCATAGTTCTGAACTTTCCACAGAAATGCTCGTACAGCTCTTCACAGTATCGCAGAGTACAATCAGCAATTACACTTCAAACTATTATGAACATTAAACACAGGGCAATGCAAAGCGCGTCTGAAAGGCAATGTTCTGTGTGTATCAATGCTCAGAATTCTGCTCTAAACTAACTGTTCCTACCGAAGATAGCTCGAACTTATTTAATGAAACTTAGTTTCAGTAAGTGGACTGTAATATTAACAATAACAATTTATTTTAACAAAAAACAACATTATTGAATGCTAGCACACGCATGTGCTTATAGTTACCTATGTAACTTAGTTAAGAGCGAGCAACCATATGCTCTTACATCAAGTCAGAAATCATACATACTAATAAGGCAAAAAAGAAATAACTTTAGGGTTGCACTAAAACCAAACTCTGCTTGGCGTAAAACAGTGCTGCCAAGCAATACTCTTTCAGACACCGAACACTAACAACTGAGAGCAGATATTCTCTCCGCTCTAACATAGTTTTCAAGCGGCCACAGACAGACCAAGGAGGTTAGAATAGAAGGAGGGAGGGTTCGCAGTTTCCTCCACTATCGGGGAATGAAACTCCACGGAACAAGCGGCGTCCATGTTTGTTACTTCAAAACATTGCAATACGGCAGTGAAACGTACGTGTTTGTAAGCTGTTCTATGCATGAATTTTCCAGTAAAAATATGTTAAATTTATAATGAAATGCTTCGCTATTGTTAGTTTTTTGTTTTAAAGTTATAAAAAGGTGATATCTGTAATTTACTAAGTACAGAAAATCATTAAGAAATATTTCGAAATCTAAATGCATGTGCATAACATTAAAGCCTTTACAAATTATGTTTCTGCATAATTTCAAGAATTTGTTTAGGTTTTATTAGCAACTTCTCTGGTATACTTTCCAGTTAATTCTTTAAGAAGTGATATTTCTGATTTATTCGCAATATTATTATAATTTATTAAAGAATCATTTTTACCTGAAATTAATAGCAGATAATTATCTAAAAAAATGGTAACATGTTGCTTTTTTTTTTAAATGAAAGTTTTAAATAGATTCTTTTCACAATCAACAACCTTATATCAACAAGAAAATAAATCTTAATAAAATAAAACAGATTTATGTGAATTCAAATGATTTCAGTTTATGCGCGTTTCATATTTATGAATCTCAAAGAAATTACCTTGAATTAAACTGAATTACAGAAATATACCTATATAAATTTTTGGATATATCTTTTCACATGTTCAATTGTGTAAATATTTTACTTACGTTTATCGCTATATACTGCCCAGAAATTTGTAAGCTTATGCAAAAACATTTTTACAACAGAACAGTTTATCTTGATCAAATGCACAAATTATATTCGTAACAGTTCACAAAACTTAAGAATGAATAATAATTAATACATAAGGAAAAGCGTTGCTTTATTTAACACCTTTACAATTCATAAAAATAGTAACAATTGATTTCTTACTTTTCATGAAAATTATAAAACGAATTATCTAAGCGTTCAAATTATACAGCAAGCATATAATCCCTGCATATATCATTGTATGTTAAGGAACAAAGATACCAGCTGTAAGCAAAAGCATTAAAATGTATTGTATTTAACATGTTTCGATT